TCAAGCCAAACACAGAGATTCCCCCAACGGGTGTGGAAGGAGGTCGGCATGTGCTTCAAAACGGCCGTCCGACGGCCCAAGATGGCCCAAGATGACCCAAGAGGCCCCCCAAGATTGCCCCAGGATCGACCAAGAGGCATCCAATGTGGCCTTAGGACGGCCCAAGAGGCTCCCAAGACGGCTTCCAAAGGGCCCCAAGATTGCCCAAGAGGCCTCCAACACGTCCAAGATGCCTCCAAGACGACTGTCAAGCGCCCCCAAGAGGGCCCCAAGACGGCCTAGAGAGGTTCCCATGGCGGCTTCCGACGGCGCCAGACGGGCCAGGAACGCCGTAAAACGGCCAACGATGCCCCCATGCAGCCCCAACGCTTCCCAAGCGACCCGAGGAGGCTTCCAAGAGGCTTCCACGGCGCCCCCAGGAATCTCCTAGGATGCCGCAATAATGGCCCAAGAGGTTCCCGAGAGATCCCCTAATCCGTCTCCTCCACCTCCTCCTCGTGTTCCCTTCCTCTTCTAATCCTCCACTTCACCCCAGTTTTCCACAACGGCTGGGGGAGCACACGATCCAATAGCCTGGCCACATGGTGCCCAAGCGTTTGGCCACATGGGCGGGTCCTACACAGCAGGAGACGGCGATGATTCGCCGTCGGTGTCTTCGAGGAGGCCTCTTGGGCAATATTGGAGGCTTGTTGGGCGATCTTAGCACCCCGCAATTGCGGATTCGAGTGAGGGGGGAATTCGCGAGGTGGGTCGCGGGTGGGTCGCGAGTTGGCTCGTGGGGTGGGTCGCGGGGTGGGTCAAAGTGTGGGTCGCAGGTGGGTCGAGGGTCGGGTTGTGGGGGTGGGTCGCGGGTATGCTTCAGGCGAGGAAGATGATCACGCACCACCGCCACCCAAAACAACAACAACAACACTTTAATACGCTTGGTTCTTGCTTTCTCGCGTGCCATTCGACACGTATACTCAAAACCCTGGATGAGTGGCTTCTTCGTATTCGATCGTACACCCTTGCAGGTATATCTTTCTTATCTGCACAGTGTATTCCATGCAGCCCCTACGGCAGGGGAAGATGGGACTGATAGAAGATAGGGACAAGGGGGGGGGAGGCGGATGGAGCACGAGAGAGAGAGTAGCAGGAGGGGGGCCAAGAGCAGAAAACACGTGGAGAACCAGACGGGCAGATCGGGAGGGTAGACCCTAACAGGCGGGTCGGAAGGCGGGCCCAGGCAGACAGGTCGAATAGGCCGGTTGCTGAAGCGTGCGTCTTGCATGAATCGCAAGTCTCGAGCGATAGCGCGAGTCCCAAGTAAATCGTGAGATAGGCTGGAGCGAGAGCGTGATTCTTGAGTGTCGAGGGCGCGGCGACTTAAATTGCGATGGCGTCCCGCGCAAGAGCGTGGTTTTATAATACATTGCGAGGAAGTATCAGGCGGGAGCCAATAATCCAATTCTAAGGCCCAAGACGTTGTCTTATAAACAACAAGGTGCGAGCCCCGGGAAGTTCACTTCAATTGAACAAGTAGGATGTCCCCCCTGGGGGATCAACAGTGATTATAACAGTGATTATTCTTCGATTATATTCTTCAGTCGTGAGAGCACAAAACCATTAGCAACGACACAACAAGCATACTCTGCCGGACGGAATGCTATTTCTGCCACGCACCCTGGGACAATGAATGACCGTTCGGCCCCTTACCCTGATTTTGCTTAGCACGGACTGCTCAGTTGAGAGCCCCAAGCAAGTTCAAGAGACGCGTGGTGATGTCTTGTCCTCATTACCTTCCTCTCGTCGCCTTCCCTGCTTCCCCTTTTTCTCACCCCCGCCCCATGGCCTTCGTACGTACAGTCGGGGCCCTGAAGAAGGAACCCTTTGCGTTGGGGAGGGGCTCGGTGTTCCTTAATTGTTCCACACCTTGCCCAATGTTTTCCTGAAGTTTTTGGTGGCAAGTCGAAGGTTAACTTATGAAAATAGGGGCCTCGTTCCTTATGTTGGGCTCCTTAGGTCAACGCCCCGACTGTACGTACGTGGGGTCCAGAGATGGAGGGAGCACAGCAGGAGGGAACGACCAGGTGGAGGGTGTGGCTAGACTGGCACGTTCCAGGGGGTCAGTTGTTTCAGGAGGGAAAGAAACACACAGACACAATTAATCGTCGATTCCAAGGAAAATATAGGAAAATATGGGGATTGGGCGGGAAGACAAAAAAAACTCAGAAACTATGGGGAAATGTGGGGAATCATTTTATTTGTGTGTATTTATTTGTGTGTCCTAGGGCCCCTTCAGGTTTGGCTAGACTGGCACGTTCCAGGGGGGTCAGCTGTTGCCCAGGGCCCGTGGAGGCGCACGTGGGTCTGGGGTCGGGCGTGGCCCCCGGAGGTTAGGGGCGACCCGATCGGGAGCCTTGAGACGGGGGTCAGTGCAAACGGGGGTCACGCTCTCCCTCCAGTACTGCTGCGACCTGGTCTACGATCTCTGCGTCTGCAGCCTGCGCCTGCAGCCCCTGGGCGTGGCCGTGATGCCGCTCCGCGCCCACTGCCAGGCTGCCGCAGCACAGGCTGGCCGCACCGGCCTCTCCCGACGAAGGTGCTCTCGGGAGCCTTGAGACGGGGGTCAATGCAGACGGGGGTCAGCCAGAGCGCCCGATTTTGCAGGATCCTGCAGGGCCAGGCTCCCATTGACCCGGGCTTGGGCGCAGGATCCTGCAGGATTCGGCAGGATCCTTCGCATGGACCCGGGTTTGGGGTGCAGGGTCTGGCAGGGTGTTGCAGGATTCTGCAAGGCTCGGCTGACCCGGGTTTGGATTGACCCGGGTTAGAAGATCCCCGACCCGAGTGGGGTGGGCATTTTTTGTTGTATTGCCCAGGCTTGCAACAATCGCCGTCTGCATCATCATCAGCATCATCCGTAGTCATTTGGCTCAAGCCTGGCTCGAACCCCCCCTGGCGGGCGTTGCGAGCATGGTGGCTGCGGGAGGCACTCGGGCGCCCCCCTGGGGCGGCGCCTGGAGCAGGACCAGTGGGTGGGCAAGCCTGGGCCGGACGCTAGGCGGCCACGATGGCGCGCAGGCTGCGCAGGGAGCGTGTCCAGGCGCGGAGCTTCCGCGCGGAGACAGTGACATGGCGGCGGCTGCAGCCACTGCAGCTGTGGCGGAGCTGGCTCCCCCGCAGGCCCTGGCGGCGGCCCTGGGGGATCGCCTCGTGTGCCTCGGCAGGGCGCTGGCGTTGCACCACAGGGCTGACGTCGCACTCGGTTGCCACATGCGTGGCCTGGGCGATGCATGCGCTGCGCGCGGTGGCCAGCACGCTGGACGTGGACATGCACTCCGTGCGCTGGGGCATGGAATGGAGATCAAGGGCGACGGCGACAAGGCGAGGCACGAGCCGCTAGGTAGAGGTCTGCGTCGCGGAGCCCGCGCTGGAGCTCAGCGGCCAGGGGCGCTGGCTCGGAGTGCGGCAGGCGCCTGGGCTGCGCCGCGACGCGGCGCCCTCTCACCCGCCTTCGTCCTGGACGCCGCTGCGGTCTGGCGCCCCGCCGTACGCGCTGGGGTGGGTTCGGGCTCAGGCGCTGCTGACCGAGCTGGGCTTCTCGAGGCAGGAGGCCGAGACGACTGCGCGCGCCGACGATCGCGCGGACGGGGTCGTCAAGGATGTGCTCGCCGATGGAGCCAAGCTGAACGAGCTGGAGGCCCACGCGTCGGGGGACGGCGCGGGGCACGAGCAGCAGAAGCCCGAGGCCCTCGGGTTCGTGCTGGACGTCGTGGCGGAGCACGTCGACAAAACATGGCTCGGGACACTTGTGCTCCATACTCGCAGTCCCTCGGCTCGGGACACTCCTTCTCCCTACTGCGATGGGGTGGTGGAGCAGCCGCCGTCCGATGTGGAGGGCGACGAGGACGTGCCCCCGACCCTGGTGGAAGGCGCGTTTTTCTTCACCTGCGAGGACTTGGAGGCGATGGCCGCCACAGCGACAATGCCGCTGGGCAGTGCGAGGCGGCTGTGGGCCATCGCGTCGGGCCGAGTCGAGGACTCGCTATGCTGATGCTGTTTTAGGTGTGTCTCCTCGGAGACCCCGGGGGAGGGCGCCCAAAGACCCCGTTGGTGAGCGAGAAGTTGCGATGGGCTCGAGCGTTTCGATTCCAACTGTCCCTGGACAGCGGGATCAGCATCATCATGATCGTCACCACCGTCAGTATCATCACCGTTCGCATCTTTACCGTACCATCATCAGAACCATCATCGTCATCACCAACGTCATCATCATCGCCATGATCGCCGCCACCACCATCACCAGTGCCATCGCCGTCGCCACCGCCATCACCATTCTCAGTATCCGCATCGTCCACGGCCATTATCATCACAATTCTCATTATCAGGATCATCGTCGTCATTATCAACGTTACCACCAACATGAACATCAACATTCATACTCGAAATTGTCAGCGTCATCGCCTTCATCGTTGTCATCGTCGTCGTCATCGCCATCAGCAGCCGCGTCGGCGGCGCGGCGGCGACGGGAGGGTGCAGCTGAAAGAGGGGCGAGCGTCAGGGGGCGCGACCCGCGCGAGCGGCGACGCGGCGGGATGGCGGATCGGGGGCAGTCGGCTGAGTCTTCCGTTATCGGAATTTGGTTCAATCGTTTTGTTCGGTTGGATGAACTGATCAGCGAAGGGCGGGGTCGGCCGGTTCGACCGGCAGGTTGCGCCGACGAATCGATCAACGCGTGATGAAGCAGAGCGGGCGGGCAGTCTTGGTTGGTGAAGGGCTGCCTCGTGCCAGTCTGCGCTCCCCTGCGCAACCGTAGGCGTCCGAGCTGGCGCGGACATGACCGAGATAAAATGTGCCCCTATTCCGGTTTCCTGTCAAGAGTTGGAGAACGATATTAGGGTGGAGTGGAGGGGGAAGACGAGGACGCCGAGAGGAGCGAGGATGATGTGGAGGTGGAGCAGGAGGAGCAGGAGGAGCAACACCCCGCCTCAACCCTTCTCCACCGCTTGTCGTCCAAGGTGGGAACACGCTGTGGAGTTGTTCCAGGCTGGCTGCCCGTGCGCTCTTGCTTTTCAAAGGAAGCGGAGAAGCAGGATGCGAAGACGGAGGTTGGCACGTGAGATTGAAGTGCCCCCCCAGCTGCGCGAGGGCGATGATGTGTCTGCCCAGGCCACGACCCAGTCGGGCAACGTGTTTCGCCGTCATGCGCCGAGGCACCGTGCGGAGATGTCCCGCGGGTGTACCGTGCGGTATCCCGTGTTTGACCAGCGGGGTGTCAAATGGTTGTCCCGTGTCGTTGTTTCGTGGTTGTCGCGGTATTATTTCGCGCGTTGTCACGTGGTTGTTTTGGTTTGGTGGGATGTGCAGTGGTTGGTTCCGTGGTTGCGCCGTGGTTGTCCCATTTGTGTCGTCTGGGTTGTTTTGTTGTTGCTTCGTCGGTTGGCGACGGTATGCCAGGCAATGTATTACATTCATTGGTATGTAAGCGTGTGTTTGTGCATGTAGACCAGCAGGCAGGCATTCCAATCTCTGCAAGTAACCACCTGACACCATGTGTTTGATTTGCCAGCTCTTACACCACCAACGCATGCGTATACCCAGCTGCACTGCCGTGCGATATCATCAACTGGGGTCCCCGATGTTTCAGGATCGGATTGGGTACGTGAATTTTCAAGTTTTCAGGGATATCGCACCAGGGAGCATGCGCGGCATGGGGAACGCAGTGTGTAGTAGCGTCGAAGTTCTCCTTGATTTCATTGGTCTTCAATACGATCTGGGTTGAAACGTCGCGAAATGTCAAGTTTGCGTAACGTAGTTTGTCCTTCAAAGCACCCCGACGATCGTTCGAAAACCGGAATTGGGGATGGTGTGTTTGCATTGTGTCTTTGTGTCTTGCTTTCCTCGTGCCTTCTCATGGTGGTTGACTTTGTGTTTGCGCTGGCTGTTGCATACCTGCGAGGTGTTCCTCACTGTGTGCGCTCCAGTGCTCGTGATTGTATGCCATGCGAGTTCTAGATTCAACACGCGCACTATCACACACCTTCTTCGTCTTTCTGGGCCATCGTTGCTGGTTTCCTTCAATGCCGCATATGCGGTTGGAAGCCGCCGTTCCAGTTTATCGTCCGCTTTAGCCATGCACCATAGCGTACTTTCGAACGTCATATGTGTTTTCAATGCATCATCGCGTGTTTTCAAGCCTGCCTTGTTTATGCCGTCGCCCAGCTTACTTTCCCGCCAGGGCGTTTCTGTTGCTTGATCGTCGTGGTAACTGTTCAGTTTACATCAATGTATCCGCTCTTGAGCACCGTCGCGTTGTGTTCTGTCTCTATTTCGTACTGGCTGCTCCTGGGCGGACTGCTCGGGCAACGGGCGGGGGAGAGGCATGTGGGTGAGAATACCGGTGACGGCACACCACACATTGGGTATAGGTTTGCCAGCCAGCCCGCGCGTACCCCCTGAGCAGGGGGGGGTTGAGGCCAGAAGAGAAACCGGTCATAGGAGCAGAAGAAGGTCGAGGAGGATGAGGACACAGAGGCAAGATATTGGAAAGCGCAGGAGTAGGTGGAGCAGTTGTTGGGTTGAGGTCCGCGCATGCCGGGGTGGAGGCTGACGAGGAGGGGGCCTGACGAGAATGCAGAGAGAGAGGGGGTCAGGCCGACGGGGAGGACCAGGAAGTGGAGGGCGGTATAAGCGGAGGGATGCGGATGTGCGAAGGATGAACTAGTTTGGGGGTGGGGGATGTTGAGAAGATGTGGAGGGTTGAGGGTGGATGTGGGCGGAGGTCGGATAGCGGAGTCGGGCGCTGGATGGAGCGGGGAGGTTTTGCCGTGCTTGCCCAGATGAATCGGAGGTTGATAGACCTCCTACCCTGACACATCGATTAGCGAATTGACCGTTTTCGGTTCGCGAGAGGGCGTCGCGGCCGTCATTTTTGCGGGTCCAGGTCCGTCGGTTTCGGTCCTAGGCCGTTTTCACTGAAGGGTGGTTTATTAAAGGGAGGGTTGTTACCGCCGAATCAAGAGTGAATTGGGGGGGGACACACGAGGAGGAATGGGGACGGCGGGGGTTCGCCTGTGGTGCGCCCGGGGGCGCCTCGTGGGCGCCCCGTGCGCTGGACGGGTGCGACGGATTTTCGCCTTGTGGGCGCATGTTTGGCGCCGCGTGTGCTGGCGGGTACGGCGGGGATTTGGGTTTCGTACGCGTCCGTTTTTTCATGTACATACCTCGTCTTGTCCAGGGGGGTCCCTGTAAGGGTGTGCTGATATATATATATATATATATATATATGCGTTTTGTTTTGCCTCGAGCAGGCCCAGAAAAAATGCATGTACTCACCCTGGTTGCCCCCTGGTGATGTACATGGATTCGCTGCCTGGGGGAATGTGTGACCGGCGAGCCGACGGATTCCTTCACGCTCGCCCAAGAGAAGCCCGAACCCAAAGACGGGCTCTGAGGGCCCCAGACAGCCCCACAGCAGCTCCACGAGGGGCCGAAGCGAGCTCCCCAGGAGGGGCCGACCAGGACCGCCACCGCCATCCTACCCGAGGCCAGTATGGCATCGCCTGGGGCCGCCTCGCGGACCCTCTCGAGGCCCTCTGGACCTTCTTGGGGCTTCCCGCTTGATCCAGAGGCGGCCCCTCGGGACCCTGGACAGTCCCAAGAGGGCTCCAAGAGGGGCCCAGAAAGGTGCTCATGAGGAACCCAACCAAGGGCCGCCGACCATCGTCGCACCAAGACGGCCCGGCATGGTGTCGCTGGGGGGCCTCTCAGGAGCCGTGTTGGGCCTTCTGGGCCTCTCTTGGGGCTCTCCCCTGGCCCAAAACACGGCGCCGGAAGGCCTCCGGACAACCCCGAGAGATTGATCAACAAGGGCTTTCGAGATGGGTCCAAGAAGGGCCCACCACAGCGATATCGTGCAGGGAGCCCCTCTGGCATGAGATCGTCAGGGGCCGCCTCGGGGGCGCCTCTGGGGGCCGTCCGCTGGCCCCGGATGTTACCGGAGAGGGCCCGAGACAGCCCCAAGCAAGAGCTTGTGAAGACGGGGCCCGAATCGGATGCTTTTTTAGAGGGGCCCTTTAAGAGGGGCGAGAGGGCGTCGCGGCCGTCATTTCTGCGGATCCTGGTCCGTCGGTTTCGGTCCTTGGCCGTTTCCACTGAAGGGTGGTTTGCTAAAGGGAGGTTTATCCAAAGAGTTCCCAAGAGGGGCCCAGAAGGGCCACCAACAACATGATGCCAAGAGTCCTTGGTGTGATGCCGTTGGGGGCCCTCTCGAGGGCCTTCTTAGGCCCCATTGGGGGCCTCTTGGGGCTCTCCTGTGGACCCAACTACCACCCAGGAGGACCTCAGGTGGCCCCAATCGAGCTACAAGAGGACGTAAAAGGTTCCTTGGCGCCAGGGATAAGCAAGTAGCTTCCGCCGCATCGCCTGTGTCACACAGGCTGCACATGCATCCTACGATTATTCCGCGTTGAGGGCAAAAGGGGGGCAGGAAGGGCCCGCGAGGACCCTCGCACGACTTCAATATTGCCATCCTTAGGCTCGTTTGTGGCTCGCAGGGAGGAGCGGAGACAAGGAGGCGGAGTCAGCAGAGAGGAAGGAGAGGGGGAGAAAACGGAGGAGGATAGCTCGAGTAGGAGGTGTGGTGGAGGATCGCCCGCACGACAAAGACGTGTGCAAGTGTCCGATCATCGTTCCCTTGCATTGCACGGCCCGCTCGCGGGGTACGTATTCGTGTACGTACTTCGGCGCGTACGTCACTATGCGGCCTCGATTGTTCCCCATGACCTACGCATGGAGCTCTGGTTGTTAGTGCGATGCCTCACTCTCCCTCTCCCGTTCCTCCCTCACCAGCATTCGCATTGAGACTCACTCGCACTTAGACTTCGCAAATCCTGACCACACGCACACGCTCAGACCCACTGAAACCGAATCTCACTCATACTCGTAGACCGCTCACATTCAGATGCTTGCACACTCAGCCACGTCCTCCTCGCACTCGTACACACAATCACCACTCACACTATGACCATTCACATGAAGACCCAGATATGCTGAGACCCAGACTCAGACTTACGCACACTCTGTCAATCAGTTCTAGACCTACCCGGACTCGTTCCACAGGCTTTCTTTGATACAGTCGGGGCCATGAAGAAGGAACCCTTTTCGTTGGGGAGGGGCTCCGTGTTCCTTAAGTGTTTCACAGCTTGCCTCGGGTTGTCCTTCTGCTGGGTGGATGGCTGAGCGTGGTTTGGGGGGTGACATACAAATCGGGCCGGGGGGGGGCGGGGGTACTCCCGACACGCCCTCCGACACCCGCGGGGGGTGCACGCGACGCACGCTCCGACACCCGTGGGGGGTGGCCCCGACAACCGCACTGACACCTGCGGGGGGGGGTCCCCGACACCCTCTCCGACACCCCAAGGGGGGGTCTCCGACACCCCCCCAGGTCATGCCGAGGGCTGCAACCCTCTCGTTTCGAAGTCCCCCGGGTGGACTTGAAATTTGACAGTGTCATGCGTGAATTTCGTGTATTTTTGTTATACCACGTTTTTAGGATGCCGTACACGTCAGTATGCTAATTCGGGGGTTCCCGAGTAAATCCTGCGAATGTAAATGAAGGTAAGTTTGTTGAGATTGCGTTGAGGGGCTGAGGGCGGGCTTGCTTTCATCGACGCCGACATGGGCGTTCAGTCCTCCTCCCTTTCCTCCTCCTCC